TTTATTGGGTGAAATCACATCCCACCTTGCAAACCTGCTCCTTGAATGTCCTGAGAAAAACCGTCTACACCATAATTAGCGGGAATAGGGAGAACAAGTTCTGGGGATGACAACCGGAAGTGTACGGAAGACCGAAGCTGAATTGCTCATCAGCTGCAGCAGCGCCGCATAAGTCTCCGATGCCTGGGCTCCATGTCGTCGATGCATCTCTTACGGCTGCCACAGGACTAACAGGGGCACACTGCATAGAAATGCCATCTGGTGCGGTGACTGGCATAGTTGTGCAGTGCTCCTTGTCGCTAAATAGTGGTGGTGAGTCCGCGCCGCGGGGCATGACCGGGCTATGTGCTGGGTTTCGGTCGTCATGGTCCGTGCCTCCTTCTGGCGCTTGTAGCTCGGCAGAGTCGCTAGGCTGGGAAGATGAGATAGGATTTGACACGATGGCAGCTTTTGCGTCTGCGATGGAGATGTTGGTATGTATTGATCTAGGAAGTGTGGAGAACCCCTGAAGACCGAGTTCTTTGCAAACGTGTTCGTACCTACAGGCGTCAAGTAAGTATAGTCATGGCAGTCATTGGGAGAGTCACGGGCTGCTCACGTTTCTTCGAACCACCAAGCCACAAATGCAACAGGATTGAAAAGGGGGATCATCTTATCCTCTGGGAGAAGTGCAGGCCTGTCCCATGATACGCAGACCGATTGGTGCAACAAGCCAACCACTTTGGATCTCCATTCCTTCAGGATGTGGGAAAAATTCTTGTCTGAAAGCTTGGCGATATAATTTAACCGACAGTCGTCGACTTCAAGCGAGTTAGCATTTTGCAACAACGGAACGGGAGTGTGGGCCATACGGGCTAGGGACGACAGGATGATAAGAGACGCATCTCCGACCGTCCCAGCAACAAGAGAGACCAGTTCCATAGCTCGAAAAGTGGCCTTAGCCCAACGGAACTCCATTGGATCACACTCGCGCCCACCCCAGCATGTGCATTCGTAATATGTGGCAAACCCTGTCAGACAATCTCCAATCCACTTTTGGGTCTTCGCTGTAGCGATATGCATTTTACCGTATGTTGACGTGGCGTCGCGTAGATGATTGAGCGTCTGCTTTGAGTCCTTCATTTCCTGCCACATAGACAGGAGCGTCTTCGAGTTGGCATCGGCCTGCTGGACCGGTTCGAAGCAACGGCTGAGGTGCTCCAGGTTGTGTCCAGCCCTTCCACTGAAGATGTCATTCAATGTCCCCTCTTTTAAGACGGCTGTAGACCACTGTCCTTGGGAAGCGTCAAGTTTCTGAAGCGAGTCACCTCGACGGGTTCGTTTTCGACCCCTGCCAACAGACCCAGACGACTGTCGAACGATGTTGGTCCGCACATTGGAGCTTGGAGGGCCCTCAGGCGTATTTTGCGGGCA